ATTACTGGTTCAAAATATAAGTTTGACTAACTCCCCAATTCACTGTAGCAAAAATAGTGACAAACACACTACTGAGCTCCTCCTAAATGATACTCTGAATCCTTACATTCCCTATTAATCTGGGAAACTCATCTGTCCTTTTTGGGCCTAATAGTCTGAGATCTGGCAAAAATACAACCTTTCACCATAAGACATTCAGTAGAGTTATGTGAATACAGTTAAGCTTGAAAGCAGGTTTTCTTCTAGACAGTCTTTTATCACACTTTTAGACATTTTACAGTTTCTTTCTCATTATCCCTCTGCATCTTGAATTTTATCAAGTAATATGTGTCCCTTCAATTTATGCAGATTGGCTTTTCTTGTTTTGTATAAACAAAACATCATTGTATTTACAAAGTTACTGAATGTTCTTTTTCTACTTAAGTGCTTTCATTTTCAACTTCAAATCACTTTATGCAGTGCCTAAAGTGAGTTCCTGATGATATCTAGTGGGCTGCTACACTTCCTGCAGTGAAGTTTTTGCTGCTGTATATTTCTTACACTTTACCCAAAAATTAACGGCAGAATTTACTCCTGGAAGGATAATTAAGTGGTCATATTGCTTTGTTCTTTTCTTGATATTAAGCAAACATATCATCTCTTCCCAGATTTCACTTGCAGAGGGGGAAGACCCATTTTCTCATATTACCTGAGAAGACTGATACAGAACAAGTACTCTGTTTTGCCACATAAAGTTGTCTCCATACGTTCTTTCCTCACTGTTCACCAACTTCCTTGGGAGACACACATCAAAAGTCTTTTATCTGCTGGTTATGTGCTGTAACTTGAGCACAGAAGCATCATATGAGGAACTTGGGAACTGTGCACAACTCCAGGCTACAAGCTTCCCTCCTCTCCACATTTAGTCCATTGGGACCACCTGGAAGGATTTAAACATAGAGACAAGGCTGCTAGCTCTACTAAATTGCTAGTATGCACTAGGGTTGACTTTTCATGCTCTTTCTTCCCAGTCTGCTTTAGCCTGCTTGGACTGAGCAACTACCTGATTCACCAGTGAACTGTATGTTTTAAGATCTGCACTATTTTCCGAAGAAAGGAAGGGATTGCACTGGGTGTGCAATATAGAAACTCACATGGACGCAAACTGATATACATTTGTGATTGTATAGAGCTGGTATTCTAAGATGAGCCACAATGCATCTGGATGCTCAATGTCTATGGAAACAGTGAGGCTTTAGACCTTCAGATTTCTTATATAGAATATCACAAAAATGATAAAAATTAATGTCATTATGTGTTCCCCCTAGAACTGGCTGCCTGTAAAACCTGTGAAGTGCTGTCCAGTTTAATCATCAATAGCAATTACTTTCTACACTTCACAGCAGAAAGCTCTATATTTTGCAGGAAACATAAAGCAACACTTCACCATTCTTTTACACCTCAGCAGTGCCTCCCCCACAACATCAATGTCAAGCCAGCCCAGAGGTGTTTCCCTTAAAAAGACTTTTTACCCTCTCGCTCCTGTCTGGTTTTGAATCTTGGATAGCCCAAAAGACAGCTCACAGCTATGTTAAAATTTTAACTATGCTTTAACTATGTTAAAATTTTAACATAGCTCACAGCTATGTTAAAATAATTTAATATTGATTTTTTTAAAAATAATGAAAAGTGTTATTTTTAATCAAAGGGGAACCCTTGCGGTTCACCTACCATTTGAATTTGCATTTTAATCATAATTCAAGCCCCCCAAGGTTCAGCAGATTAAATGGCATGACGAATGCAAGCAACTGAACAAAACAATTAAAGAATGAAATCCATGTTCTTGGGATTAGTAAGGAGAGAAAAGAGGATACCACTGGAAAATATTTAGGTATCTCCAATGTACAAAATGTCTCTGAAATGCTGAAGCCCAGCAGAGCAGTAGAAACAAGATCCAAAAGTTTTTGTTCAGATATATTTTATGTTGACATCCTTCAATTCAGTATTCCGAATTATGTGTTAGAAATGTTATATGTCATAGGTATGAAGAGTGAAAAATCCTTATCTATATGAAAAATAATTAATATGCTAAAATATACCTGAGAATTATAAAAATGCCTGTGTTTTTGCCAGAAGAAGAATGTGAAATCAAACAACTACTGTGTTTACAACAATTCTAATGGCATATATCTAAATAAAGAAATATCACAAGAATGAATGCAGTTATCAAAATGCAAAAGAATCTATTTTCTATACTCGTGATTATTAAAATGAGTTCTAGTAAATAGTATAACTTATTTTTTGTAATATCTTCAAAACGTATGGATGTGCTTTAAAGAACTCAGGATTTTCATAAATAGAGAAGACATGAAAAGATTTGTTTGGAACAGCTCAGACAAATTATTCTTTATGGCTTCCGGTTTGCGAGAGGTGAGGTGGAACGAATTAACAGGAACAAGACTGTTTACAATGTCCTCACATGTACTCCCAGTAGACAGATGAGGATTAAAAATGGTAGCATCATCAAATTGCTGAAATTTCTGTCTTCAGATGTACACTGACTTTTTTTCTTAAATAATGCAATTTCTTTTTTGATACACAAAAAGTGATGTTCTTTCAACCCTGAAAATGTACGGACTTCTGTGACTTTACAGACCTACCTGGCTGAATTTTGAGGGAAAAAATCCACAATATCAAGAATTATAACTTTAATATCCTACATGGCTAAAACTTATTTTCACCTTGCTGATGTGGGATGCCAACATATCAAAGCCCTAAGCAGATTCCAACACTTCCTTTCCCATTTCCCTCTCTTCTCAGACTTGTCCCACCAGCTCTTGTAGCCAGAGCAATCCCAAATACAAATACAGACTGACCAGATCACCTCTTTTATGAGCAAAGGTGGAGAGAATTGGGGCTGTTCAACTTCAAGAAGAGAAGGCTCCATGGAGAGCTTATAAGAGCCTTCCAGTACCTAGAAGGCTTACAAGAGAGGTGGAGAGGAACTTTTTACAGGGGCATGTAGTGGTAGGACAAGTAGGAAAGGGCCTTAAACTGAAAGAGGATAGGTTTAAATTAGATATTAGGAAGAAATTCTTTACTGTGAGGGTGCTGAGGTACCGAAAGAGGTTGCCCAGAGAAGTTGCGGATGCCCCATCCCTGGAAGTGTTCAAGGCCAGGCTGGATGAGACTTTGAGCTACCTGGTGTAGTGCAACTTGTCCCTGCCTGTGGCAGGGAGGTTGCAACTAGGTGATGTAGAAGGTCCTTTCCAACCCAAAACATTCTGTGTTTCCATGATTCTGTGATTGCATGAATGTATTCAGTGTTGTTCAGCACATCCATTCACTAAAAATCTAAACTTTCTTGCTTAATGATATACCTTACATGTCTTCTTCAGTATTAAACTGGTCTATCTGGGTGTGTGTCATATTGTTCTTGTAGGTTTTCATAGCAATTTTGCTGAACCAGTTGATTTAAAAATGTGCTTATAGACTTTAAAGACTTGCCAACACCACAGAATTTTATCTTTAGAATGGCTGTGAAAACCTAAGCTAGTTGGGTGATGAGTACAAGAGATCAGTTAGTGCAGACCAGAGCAATATAATCTCCACCATTTTTGGATTAGTCATTCAGGACAACTGAGGTTTTATATATTTTGCAGCAGAAATAATGATCAATTTTAGAATAAAAATAAATACATGTTGACCATCCCTATTACTGTTGAAATCTTTATCTTATACTTTGATTTAACTTGTTTTAAATTGCACTATTTCTTGGAAGTTAAAATTAATGAGTTTTATTTCTGCTGCTTTATCTGATTTAGTCACCTTTATTACCAACTTATTATACCAAGAGCTTTCTTCTATTTTCTATTTACAGATTTCTAATAAATTTTGAATGTGTAAGGATTTCCTGCAGTGAATTTAATCCTACTGACAAAATGCTTGTTTTTCTTACAAACCCCTCATGGGCTCTCAGAAATTGCCCACCTCCGTCAAGTTAAAAGGTTAAAACTCCTGATGTATTTTATAAAGTCTCTGCTGCCGTGCTGAAGTCTCCGAATTCTTCCACTTAGCTAATCGCTGAGGGATTTATTACTTTGGCATTCTCCCTTTATCAGTCCTGAGAATTCATGCTATGCCACAGAAAGATGGTTCACAAAGGTCCTCTCTCTGTGGTACAGAAATGCAAACCCCTCAAATATATTGTGAATATTTTTGATAGCAGAGGCAATGGTTCAGTTAAACCCTTGAAGCATTTTATTAAGTCCCAAAACCTCATTCACAATAAGCATGTTCCTATTTGATCAGAGGGAAATGGTATTTTTTTCTTACAAACTAACAAGTTTATTCATTGAAGATGTTTAAAAATCTGATGTTTAAAAATCTGTTTAAAATCTACTGATGAAGTGTATCCACCTTATATGTAAATTTTTTTTATAACAGTACCATTTTCCCACTGGTTTTCTATTCTTTTTCATGGAGAGTTATTTATACTTGGGGTAAGGGATGATGTACAGCAACAGAAGGGATGGTCCTTAATGTTCCTGAGCACTGGTGACATGCTCTGGTCCCAGGTAACTATGGCTGAGATGGAGTTCAAGGGTGCACCTTCACCCTGACTTGGAGTCTGAGTGCTGCTGGGTGAGGCTCCCACCCTGGTTCTGTGCCCTCCCAGACCGGTGCCCTGTTCCTGGTGGGGGCTGAGGCCAAGAGACGCAGGGGCTGGAGGAGATGGTCAACCCATGCTCTCTCCAGTCCTGGTGGCCTCCTGCCTAGACAAGCTGTGCCAAGAGCTGTATTTAACCTCTGGTTTTTATTCCCTTGCCATGACTCCCTTCCTGCGCAAAACATGCTGCTGCTGCTGCTCGGGTGAGAAGGGATGGTCCAGCCAGCGCTGGTGAAAGCCTGTCAACGAATGCCTGCCTGAGAACTTGTGTGACAATTTACACCTTTGTTATCATTCAAAACTTTAAGCTGCTGACTGTGCTCTCTTTTGACTGTCTCTTTGTTCATTTTAGGGATAATATTAATTGTGAACCTACGGTGGCAGAGTTTGTCATAGCCTATGTGAACTTTGCTGTGGCTTCCTGACATCTGTAGCCCTTCTGTTTTTTGTGTTTGTTTGTTTGTATTTTCATGGCTGATTGATCCAAGGTACATCCACCACAAATTTACCAGTTCCCCAAACTAGGAATTGCTGGTTGTGGCCTTCAAAGGACTGAAATAATAATATGACCATATTATCAAACAGTAACATTCTAGATTACTTTTCAAGACCTAGGGTTATGCAATTTAGTTTAAGTGACAGAAGTAACCTAGTCACCATGGTATTACTTTTTTGTATTATCTTGAGAACCCGGTGATTAACTGTCACAGGGATATATCTGTAACCTCACTCGTCCTTGCTACTGTAAATTCAGGTTACTAAACCCTTCACAACCTGTAACAAAATGAGTCAAAGGTCTGCCTATATGTCTTTCCAAAAAGCATGACCAAAACATACCATTTTCTGAAACTAGTGACAGCTAGAAAAGCTGCCTTTGAGTCCTTGGATTCAACAGAAGAGTTTCTATTTATAACTGGATTTGTTTAAAATGGCCTTTGGCACCAGTGCAGACCAGAGCTTGGTCTTCAGTCTCTGGATCCATGGAGGAGACCCCTGTCAATCTCCTACCCCTACCTTTTCCTCATGCAAAGTGGTGACCACCTAGGGAGCCATGGGAATAGCTCATGACTTCCTGCTATACATGTTGCTGTAGATATTCACTGGGTGGACTCATTCATTAAAAATCAAAGCACATCCCCTTGCATCATTATCCTTCCCTCACAAAAATGTATTTCATCTTTACTTTTCCCCCACCTGCCTTACTCCTGATGGAGAAAATCTATTGCACATATTGTAACTTGATGTTAAAATGATTGTTTTATAGTAGTTAATGTTTTGTGTTGCTTAAAATTCCATTTCTAATTTTTTTAACAGTAAAAAAACTGTTCACATCACCTTTCTAAAAATTAAATGCCAGCATTACATGGCTCAGTGAAGTACCACAAATTTTTCAGTATTACCATGTCAGATTTCTGGACAGCGTGACTTATTTTTTTGCTATGTCCATGTTTTTCATAGTGTTTTCAATTACAATATTTGAAAAAGAATATTTATTTCTCTTTTGCAGGGAACATTTCTATTTGACATCACATAGTAATTCCTCATCAATGGAGCTTGAAATAAGTGGGCATTAAAGATTGATATGATATTGTATGGATTTACTGTTGAGTATGCACCACACACCAGCCAAGATAATGGAATACCCTGAGTGTTGAACAGATATAGAAAATGACTAAGCCTTTCTCCCAGATTTATTGGTACAAATGGTCCCTTTTTAAGAGTTAACTTCAAGTCAAATCTGCCAATTCACCTCTCTTCCCTTATTTATTTTGGAAATGTATTTGTTTTTTGGGGCTTTTGGGGCTTTTTGTTTTTTGGCAATGCTTTTGGCATTGTTTTTAGTTGGTTCCCCCCCCCCCAGTTATTTGATTTAAGAGAACAAAGATATTAAATAATCTTTGGGTATTTTGCTTACTGGAAATACTCTGTGTAAGTTCTTTTACTATTCTTTTCACCATTACTGCAGTAATTTTTCCATAGATTATCGTTACAGGTATATTTTACAATAAAGTAATGAGCAAAACAACAGAAACACATCCATTCTATTAATAATGAACTACAGCTTTTTGGCTGAAATAAACAATAATATTATTTATAACTCACATTACATTCCATAAACTATGTTCTCATCTATAAAGAGACTATAAATGACATGGTAGGGTTCCATAATATCTTTTTTCTTTTTTTTTCTCCAGTGACTTTCCTGATGACCTTTCTTTTAATTTACAAATAAACCCTTGACTTTCTTGACTGCCAGCACTGAAAGTCCACCCTGGGATCTGAGATCAAGCTGTGTCGTTTCTGCTTTATGCCAAAATAGACTCCGGTTCACCTCCTTAGTGCTGAGGTGGCTCTGCAGGGCTGGCAGGAATGTAAAGCAATAACAGTACTTCTGCCAGTAAAAAGATGAAGTGAAAGAATTCTCTCAGAAGTAGGAAGGTACCAATTTCCAAGTCAGCTTTATAGAAAACATCTGTTCTTTGAAACAAATGCTCATAGTAATGTTGGGATGGGACATCTCATTGCTCGATGTTCCTGCTCAACCTTTTTCCTTTTGATCTTTTCAGTTCAGCCCATCTGAGGTGCTTGTGGTTGTGGTTGTACAGCCTTTCTCCCTGTCAGCACTGCTGGACTCGGCTGTTTCTGTCCTCTTCTAATTGTTTGTACCCCTATGCTTGTGTTGATACTAGGACTGCTCAGTGTATTGAGCAGCATGGACTTCTGTGGAGGTCCCATGTTTATCTCTTTGGAGCCAGGTCCCAACCCAGCTCTGCAAACAGTTGGGCTGTCACAAATATATGCTCACCCTTCTGCTTCTGTATTTTTGGTGTATCAAATGAAATCTAGGAAGTCAGTTTCCTAACTATTCTTTTTCCAATCCTGGTCAAAGATGAACACTTAGTCAGTTCTTTGCACTTAGCTAGTTCTTTGTGCTTAACTTAGTTCTTTGCACTTCCACTTTTTGGAAGTCAATATTCCATATCATAGTTGGCAAATATATGCTTGGAGTGAGAGTCTGATGGACATGAAATCCCTTTGGGTAGAACATGAAGAGTTAACTTTAAGATGTTCAACTTCCTTTGGGAACTGTGTGTCTCTGTGGAGCTCAGGCAACCACATACACTCAAACGCAGGGATCAAGCCCTCTCCTGCCAAGGGAGAAGGGCTCACTCCTTGCAAGGACAGGAGTTTACACAGGGCAGAGAAATATGGGCAGAGCAGAGAGGGTGCAGGGCCTCACCATAGTAAAAAAAAGATTTCAACAAGGACTGCTCCAGTGGTTTTTTAGAGCTGTGATTATTTCTGCTGCCATCACAGGGCATATGATGGGTCAGAAATACTCTCTTAGGGAAATGGTAACAGGATTGTTTCCAAAGGCATGTATGAAACCTCCTTCCCCGTCTGCAGTGGGTCTTAGCATTCTTGGCAGAACAGAAGTTCAGCTGCTTAATCCTGTAATTCACTGTGTTTTATTTCTCATTTAATAAAGAGGATAGAGAAAAGGCAATGAGCCACAAAAAGATGGCTGCCCCTGGAGCTCTTTCAGGCTGTGGACCACAAAATCGCAGATTCAAACTCTGGGAAATAATTGGCTAAGGTTCTGTTAGTTCTTAGGGAAATGACTATGTAAAGTTCATGGTGACCTGCTGATGTCTGGATTGTCAGATGCCCAGTACTATCTGCCAGTCCCAGTGGCTGTCCCCTACAAGCCCACATGACACCAGCCTCACTGAGAACACTGACTCATCATGCAGGGTTGAAGCAATCCTTCTGGAGAACCTGATGAGCATTGAAGAGCAAAGCTGAAAAATTATTTGTACTTTAAACCAGGAAAGATTTAACAGGAGAAGAGACACTAAGCCATGGGGAATGTTCACTGGCATTTACAGTTCCTTCTGTCGATATATCCTGTGTGAAATGTGATTCTCTGAACTGTCTCTTTGGTTTTGATGAAAGAGATATTTAGTGGAACTTTATTTTGATTTTATATGCAATTTGGCTCACTGGATATACACTGACATGTACACTAAGAGTAAGGGAAGATAATTACAAAAGCAGATTAACATAGCTTCCGCACAAGCCAGAGATTTATGCATAATTTCTTCTAGAAGAAATTGCTTTGTGCTTGGTTTGGCTGGTATGATGCACTTTTGTTTTGTTTTGGTTTGGTTTTTTTTAATGTAATTTTGTAGGCTACTTCTTCAAATAGGTAGTTGAGACTTAATTTTAGTAATCACAGCAATCTGAATATTCACTTGCTTCTGCCCAAGGGTTAAACATCTGCATGTGGCAGAAAAGGTATCTGTAACACTGATCCTCTGTAAAGTTCTGTTTTCCTACTAGCCACCACGAAAAAAGGTATCTCTTTTTCAGGAGTAAACCTAAATTCATGAAAGTAAAGACATTCATAGTTAAGACACTGACTCTTTTTTTCTCTTAACTCAATACAATTTGTTTATATATTACAGCTGCCAGTTATGTAAGACCTGTTGCAAAAACTTGTGTTATCTGGTGAAAAAGGACAAAGTCTCAGTTTAGTTTTGAATTTTCAGGGTTTAGTGAATTCTTCTGCAACCCTGTCCCAGGTCTTACTGCTCCAGATGGTTCAATGGAAAATTATGTCTTCCTACAATTAATGTAAAAACTACTGTCTCTTGAGTGCCTTGAGGTTGCAACCCTACATGTTAAGTGTTATCCAGATGTAATCAAAGGACACTCCTTGGAGCAAAGTGCTAAAATTCACATATTAGTTAACAGACAAATGTCTTTTTGAATTGGATGAACTGCTAGATTACATTATCAGAAGCAACTTTCACTTTATTTGAGTTGTCAATCTTTTAAATTAGAAGAATTATCCTCTGAATCCAAGTTCTATCCTTGGTTCAATTTTTAATACTCAAACTACATGGACATCCATTTTGACATCACACAAACTAGTTAGCAATCAGAAAGCTTAATCCTATTGATCTTGTTCACATGAGTAATCTCACTTGGGTTTATGAAGTGCTCTTAAGAATAATATGAACCTGGTTACTTTATTCCTACTTAAATAACATTAAATCATTTGATTAAATAATTTTTCTCTCTCCAAGGCTACTGATAAGAAAAATTAACCGAGACTCACAAACATCTGTTTATGATCCCATACAAACCACATACATTCCCAAGGAGAAAAACAAAAAGAAGTTTCTTTAAACAAAAGTATTTTTTACTATTACAGTGAAGACAGAGTAATACTACTGGATTACCATAATTAACCACACCAACTTAAAAAAAGCCCCAGCCAAATACGCAGACAAATTGAGTTCAGAAATTAATTGGATTCCGCAAAAGAATATTTTTCATTTATTACTTTCAAATGTACATCTTTCCTGAGGACAAGTGTGTGTGTGCTCATTTAATAAATAATGCATACTATTACATACATGAGAGTATGCAGAACAACGGATTAAAGGGCACATGGACAAACTGATTATGGCACTTCTTGTCTTAACTCTTGAGCTGGCAATTGAAACATTATGCCTGTCACACAGGAGAAATGCACTTTAGGAAGACAGGTAATATGCACTCAATTATTGCTCTTTACTTTATGGATATATAATTGAGCAGAGATAAGTGTTTTTCATTAGTATGAAAACATATACTGCATGTAGAAAACTGCATCAAACAAATACTGATGTCTCCACACTGAAGAACATTTTTAGCAAGGATTGCACCTACAAGAATGAATGTTGTGACAATCCCTACTAGCAATAACGTTGTGATGATTAATAGTTAACAAAGACCAGGTAAAATCCAAGGGTATACATTCAACTCTAAATTTTATACATATACATATTAAAATCCATAAAGTCCTATATTATCTTGCTTCAGTAAAAGACTGGCTTGTTAGTACACGAAATGTTAACCTGTCCCATGGACAGAGCTGGGCTGTTGCTCCAGGCAGCTCACCGGGAGGGGAACAGCAGTTCCATGTGGCTTCTGCTTGAGCTGCTCAGGTAGCTCAGTAAACACTGGGTTGGGAATAGCATCACTTATTTTCACCAAATAACCAATAGCTATGGCTAGAAAAATATTCATTGAATTAAGGTTATGCAACCTTTGGCATTCTCAGCCTCTTGATTTCTTAATTAGGTAAATAGCTATTACACTTTGCTCATTTGATTAAGTAGTATTTCCAGGTTTACTTTTGTGATTGTTTCTCTTTAAAATAAAACATCACAGACAAATAAGTCAATAATAAGACCCTAAATATTTTGGCACTTTATTTTTGGAAACCATGGCTTCATTACTCATAGTTCACATAAAAAGCTACCACTTCCTTTAGCTCAAACCTTCCAGGACATTTCACCTTCACCCAGAACCAAAATGGAAATTTTTAGAAAGAAACTGTCAAAGTGTTCTAAGCCAATGTGTTCCAGCAGCTACATTGTCATCCATGCACTTGGGAAATCAGAGTGCCTTTTTCTCCAGGAGTCTCTTAACTCCCTCTTATTTCCTTCCTCAGCCCTTTCTTTCAGCTCATTAGTGTTTTACCCTGTAAGAATATATGTTAGCTACAGGAAAAGTGAGAGTGTAGCATGACCTAGGTAGAAAAGTAAGAGAGATGGCTGTCTAGAACAAAAAGAAAAAGCATGCAATAAGAAAATGGTCCATCCAATTGTGGAAGACAGTCAACTTGTACAGGTTGACACTGGAATGAGACTAAAACAGAGTATTTCATGTGCCTGTCTTAATTATCAATATTAATATGACTATATAATGGCAGTTAAAAGCATAAAACTAAGAGAATAAAAACTGATAAAATTTATAAAAACTGTTATGATAATTTAAATCCTTATTATCAGTATTTACTTATGTCTTTGGGTTGAAGAATGAACCTTCAACTGCAGGCAAGCAATTTTATGTCAGAATAAATCAGAACTTGGGCACAGTGATAGCATTTATCCAATAATGCCCTTGATTTTGGTACATACACAGCATTCTCTATATTAAGTTTTAATGCAAAGCATCTGAAGCATACTGTTAACAAAGATATTAGATACAAGCCACATACAATGAAATGTTCCCCATCCTTTTGCCCCTTTTTTTTTTTCCTTTCAACCCACAGAGGCCTTATTTTTACTGTACAGCTTCACTTTCTTGATCTCTAAACTAAGGGAAATACTGAGCCAAACTAAATAAAACACACATGCAACAAGCACAGTTGATTGCTGAGGCTGGAAGGGTGAAATGCAGAATGACTTCTTGTTGCAGGAATGTTTTGTTAAGCATTGAGAAATATTGCTTTCTGAAGGAACTATACATACTAAATGGTCTTGAACAGTATCATATCAAAAGATTGATGACCATACTTTAAGAGCAGGAGATCTTAGTCTAGAATAGAGTAAGAAGTATCTTTGTAAATTTATTCTAGTTTCAGTGCTTGTTAAACAAAATGTGACCTGTCCTGAACCCGAGATTCATTGAGAAGTAATATAAAATATTATTAAAGGACAGACATGGGATAGCAAAAATTCCACCACTGTGTCAACATTCAGCACCCTGAATGTCTTAGGCAGCCCTTGCCAAAGGTCTATAGATGGAAAACTCCCCTTCATACACTACCAGAAGACTGGCTCAAGCACATAAAGTGGTCTGAGCTGCAGCCTGAGGTGTTTTCTTACCATTTAAAGGCATATTTTTTTTGTCCTTGCAATATACCAGTGTGTTCATGAGAGATGTTCTAGCCAGAGAGCAAAATGCTGCAGAGGGGACCCTGGTGTAGGGAGCCAGGTTTACTGCAGCTGTGCTAAAATCTCTACCGTAATTACTAATATT